CATTGAGGATGATTGCTAGTCCCAAGCATCGTCTATTGGTTCTCTGTGTAATTACAGCTGGTCTGGCAATAACAGAGTAGCAACCGTGGGCGGTCAATCATGCTCATGCTCATGCTCATGCGTCATTTCGATCAGAAGTGACGTTTTAGTGCTACAATATAGTAAAAAAAATACAAAGACGCCACTTTGATAAAAATTAAAAGATTCAAAACAACCGAATGTTATCAAAAATGTGAATGATAACCAAGGAATCAAAAATATCTTCAAATGACAAAATGACAAAATGACAAGCGATCAACGAAGCCGAACGATAATTCTTTGTCATAAATGGATAGAAATAAAGATATAATCTTCTTCTAATCTAATCTTTTTCATGGCAAACTGCGGCTGAAATATTGCTCGCTCGGGCCGGTAGAAGGAAACGACCAAATTGTTGGCCAGCTGCTTTAATGGAAATTGCCATGCTATGTCCTCAACCATGTATATTGCAACAAAGCAAGCAAGCAATATATGATTATCGTTCTACAGTTCCCATCAAGCTACACTGAAAAAAGTCCACACGTCTGATCGAAGTGTTTAAACAATTGATTTTCCATATGCACAACACACAACACAATATCACATTTATTTCCAGCGTATTTCACCATGGTTCAATGTGTTCTACACGTTAATTTCTTGGGGCCTCCCTTAGCTCAGTCGGTAAAGGCGCAGCTACAAAGCAAGACCATGCTGGAGGTGGCTTGGTTCGATTCCCGGTCCGGTCTAGGAATTTTTCGGGTTGGAAATTTTCTCGACTTCCCTGGGCATAGAAGTATGATTGGACTTGCCACACAATTATACCAATGCAAACATGGTACAGGCATCGAAAGCTCTCAATTAATAACTGTGGAAGTGCATCTAGAACACTAAGTTGAGAGCACGCAATAAGCTAATATGCGATATGCAATAAGCTTGAAATGCGAAGAAGAAGAAGACGTTAATTTCTAGTGTTTGAAACTTTGAAATATTGATAATCTTTCTCTATCAATTTAAGTGTATTACACATTGAATCGCACTACTGTTGAACACAGATGGATTTGAAGTGTTTTGCATTTCAATGCGATGTGAATTACTTGTTCTACAAGGTAACCATCAAAAATATTAGTCGTATCTTCATCCTCATCAACTAGCCTCATATATAAGAACAATCGTGGCCCAGTGAGATCGAACGAAGACAACGGCAGTAGCACCATAGAGGTAACTCTAAGGCCAGAAGGTCCCGAAGAAACGAGCTCAACTTTTTGGCTCAGCTCTGGTACTATCTTCGGTCCCAAGCTAATCGATTCACCCCTCGAAACATAGGAAAATCCAATAACCCCTCATTTTATCTGTCAAACTTTCAAAGCGAATCAAAACAAACATAGTGTAGTACTGGAATTTATACTAGAAGGAGGTACGTTAGTCGATTTGCTTGGGACCAATAGGCTAGTCAAGTAGTGAGTCAATTTAAAATCGTTAGTTTCGTATTGATTGCTGGTGCCACACTCCAACAGGTCAGGATCAAATCCCAAATCAGACGCATTAAAAAAGGCATGTTTAATCTCTGCCCTCTGGTAGCTTTGTTTATATATTTGTCGATCTAATTTTGGAGTCGGTAAAGTAGAAGTCGACAAAGTAGAATATTGCAGAACATTGAACTATGACGTGCAAAGCTATTGATATCACCATGTGACTCTAAGTGTGGCACAATTGGAACCAATAGTGTTGAGGCATGAAATTGATGTGTTTCACAATAAATGCAAAATTAAGTGTGAGACACATGATGATGACGTGTTGAATTTTTTGAGTATATATTACAGAGAGGATTTATCGTATAGATACTATAGATTCCATAGATAAGCGGAGGCAAAGTATAATCAAGGGGGGGAGGTGGCTGTCAAATACGAACAATCTTCGTCTACCTCGCATAACTGGTTCCAAACGAAACAAGCCATAAGAAGCCTACAGGGTTTGTTTACGTTTGGAGCCAATTTCATACAAGAATGATCAGTAGGCTGATTTGACAGCACGTCCCACCCCAGAGTATAATGTAGCCAAACGAACTGTCATTTAGTGTAGCCAAACGAGCATGACGTCATCATGGTGTTGTTTTAGGGAATATTATGAGCACAAAACGGTTTCCACACTCCACATTCCGATTTATTTCGCGGACAACGGAAGAAGGAAAGCAAACCATTCCTCGATTAATTGTTGCAAAGATTTGCTTTGCACTTCATTTTGAACTTTTGCGCACGAAACAAAACAAAACTGCGCAACGAAGAGCTCTATGATGGCATGAACTTTTTTTTTACGGATGCCAGTCAGATCATTTATTTTTCATGGCTGCCAAAACAACTTCTTGTGCCTCCGCTTATCTATGGAATCTAAAGTATCTATAGTTTATCGTGGTAGTAGTAGCAAGCGTTTTGTCTTTATCGTTAATTGCTTTATGTGTTTGGATTCGCTGCCCATATCACATAAATTTTGCAATGATTTATGCAAATCAGAGAAGGTCGGGTTTTTTTCCGATTTGTCATTTGGTGTGGAACTCTCATAACTCCTAAGTATCATAACTTAAGCTTTTACTCTAAGGCTCCATAGAACAAAATTTTAAGCTATGAGACTGGCAATTGCTAATTATTTCAATGATGATAAATTATCTACGTTATACTTGTGAAACATTTATCTAGCATTTCTCATAAATTCTTAACCCAAGTAATCATAGGCACGTTATTTCGCCTTTTTGGCTGTATACGGTCCTCATCAGAACTTGCAAACACTGGTATAGCCGTTGGTCAGCTATATATAGCCAAAAAGGCGAAATAACGTGCCTATGGTTACTAAGGAAGTCGACATAAATAAATATTCCGTAATTTTTTTTTTTAAGGTTCTAAATCCAGATGCATGTAAATCTTATTCATAGGAATGTAGGTGTAAATTTCTCAGTTAATGATATCAATTTTTGCAAATTACATCGTGTTTGAATATGCATTGTGAATAAAAGAAGACAATTCAGTGTCAACATTTCAAAGGGCCGTAATTGCTTTTGTAAACAATGGCTTTAACCGTCGATTCCTCGCGAATTAAAGTTCACCTTTCTAAATTAGCTGGCTGCTAGCTGGTAGAGGATACATTCCGCTACCTGTTGGTGTCATTAATTTCCATGTATGAGCTTTTATTCGCGAGAAATCGACGGCTAAAACCATTTTTTACAAAAGCAATTACGCCCATTTGGAATTTTGACACTGAATTCTTGATAGACGAGTGCACGGATGGATTTGAGTTCACTCACTCGAAAAAAAGTGACACAACAGCGGGGCCCTGTTTACTAAAAATGAACACATGAATAATACTCACGTAACATTTGTTAAGCCTTTTTCGCGCGAACCGAATACGACCACGCAAACTAACATCACCAACGGGTAGGGGAAATTCCCCCCTTTCCGATAGTGCTCTTGGTTTGCGTGGACGTACTTCGGTTCTCGTGGAAAGGACCTAGCAAATTATTTACAAAAGTTGATATGCCCTTTTCAAATGTTACGTGAGCATTATTCATGTGTTCATTTTTAGTAAACAGGGCCCCGCTGTTGTGTCAAATTTTTTTCAGTAGATGAACAAAAGTTCACCCATGCACTCGTCGTCGTGACTCTTTTCAACAAGAAAATACGCGACAAATCACTGGAAACAATCATGCACGGTAAAAAAAACATCATGTTCATGTAGAGTGATTTGCTGTTGAATTTGCACTACTTGCCAAAGATTGCAATTCGATGTGCAAATCGTTGTTGATGTTTTGTGCTTTGAACTCGTAATGTCAACCATACTGATATTAACAACCTATCAGTTTAAGTTTAAATAATTTATCCTTAGATTTATTTTTTGCTGAAAATGGGATTTGATAAATAAATAGCCTTGTTCATACTGCAAGCCTTGTAATATGTGATTCAGAATATGACCATATCACCCAGATCACATGTTTCCAAGTGATATTGAACAACATCGTCAGGCTTTTAGTAGAACAACGAGACATTGAGCAATAAATTTGTTAAGTTTGACACTATTTTGTAATCGAAATTATCTGAGTAATACACTATTATTGACTAGAGCACCAATTTCGTATTAGTCACGCTCTAGAACGCAAATTATTTCGGGTGGAGAATGGATAATTATTGCTTTTCTCGCTTGACTTCATTTGTTGTTGACTTGCCATCTTCGCGAATAATGTTTGTCATGTGCTTTTTTTACATTTGCTTCCAAAAGCAAAACTAATCAAATTCAATGGATGAAAACAGTGGTGCCAATTCAAATGATAATCATGTTGATTGAAAGGTGTTATACAGTACATATTTTTCAACGACAAATCACTTTGTTTCAAAACGCAAATAACTTGAAAATCAATGATAAATTACTTCGATTCGTAGTGCCACATAACAGACTGAGTCAAGTGCAAGAGCATTTGGATTAGGTGTAACAACTTTTTACCGTGTGCATTATTCCTAAAAAAAAATATTAGACCTGAGTCGGCGACAGGCAGAAGCCGGAGTTGGAATATACTCACCGACGATTTATTTTATTTTGTATTGTCCAAGAATTATACAAAACTAAATAAAAATTAGTGCACATCCACAGCCGAACGGATGACAATAGAAAAAAATATTGCACAAAATCAATAAAATATCAATCGTTAAAGTGGTCTACAGACTGCTAGCATTATGTCATTCTGTTTTCATCCAAAAATAATCATATCACGACAACAATTGTTGCACCTCACATGCTTGGCACTGATAATAAAAAAAAATACTCCCGTCACACTTTCCGTCTTATCGATTTTCCCTTTTTCTCTATTTATTACCCTGCTTTCCCCCACACTCACACACTCAAACGCGTGCAAAACAACACTCAACTTGCACAACACCCATCTATCCTTCCCCACCCCACACCAATTAGGGTAAAATCCAAGCCCGCATCCCCCCCACACTTACCTCGTCCCAAAGACCCGCTGTGACACACTTAGCTCCCAGTAGTAGCGGCCATTGTTGAGCACCCGGGTGCCCCGAATCCCTGCCGTGCCCTTGCTCCAGTTGGGATGGAAGTGCACCGTACGATTGTTGGACCCACTGAGCCACACCTCCTTCGAGCGGTCCCGCTTGCTCCAGCTCCACTTGTCTTCGCAGCCATTTTGTAGGGGCTTCTCGCCTCGGTAGTGATTGTTGTTGTCCACCTCTCCCCCGGCTAGTTCGTTGTCCATCGGATGGCTGGAAGCGGTGCTGGCAGCCGACCCTGCTGATGCACTGCTGGAACCATTACTCGAAACGAGTGGCACCGTCACTATCGCATTGCTACTTCCGGGATTGGTCGTGGTTGAGTTGTTGGAGGCGCTTGAACTTGAACTGTGTGGCGTCGTGTGGGTGCTGGTGCTGCTTCGGCTTTCCTGAATGGTCATTGGTGCACGATGCAAGTCTCAAATGTTCGTTCCAGGGAATAAGATCAATTCTACCATGCCATCGTTGTCCTCGGAACCACCCTAGCAGCGCGTGGCTCTGTAGTTGCGACAAGTGGTTTTCTGTTACTCCCCCTCTTTAGTGTGATGGATTTGTACCGCGCGTGAAGGGTCAGCGAACTTGTTCGTCGAACGGGACAGGACAAGGAAGGATTTAATTCCACTAATTGCGTGAGCAATCGAAGATTTGAAGGGTGGGGCTGATTGATTCGCTGATAAGATTCCTATCTGAGGTTAACCGAAACGGCGAACGTCGCTTTTGGTTGGGTAATTCAATTACTACTTTCTACGATATCTATCTAGATGAGTCACGTTTTCAGGCGCCTTTCCATGGGTGGCGCTCAGTAGTACTTTCCGTAGCTATCCCTATCGAGCTGCTGTTGCTGTTGCTGCTCGTTGCGGAGACGGCGGGATCGCCTCGGCCGGACGACCAGGTCCTTATCGTTGAAGTAGATCTTATGATTGCCAACCGTTCGAGACCTGTACCGACTCCCACCGTTTTTTCCACTGTTCTCCAGATGGTTGTTGTTTGGATGAACCAGAAACGAATTGTAACAACGCAAAACCAATTTGTTGCAAAATATGCAAATATTTTTCAAAAACAACAAAATCAGTATCAAACTCATACGAATATCCTTTTCGGGACTGCCAATTGCTTCGAACTGGAACTGGCCGTCACGTCAACACTAACTAAACTTTCAGCAGAAAAGCGAACAGAAAACTTCCTTTTTCAATCACAAAAGCCGGAAAACACTCCCGATTTCAGTATAAATATTTACACAAAGTAGGAAGGGGGACAAACACGACAGAACCGACCGCAGAAGGATTCGCACGATCAACGGCTACTGCGCCGACGCACACTTGCTGAATACGACCGACATCTTGGAAAATCCTGATTCCTTTCTTTCGATTTTCTTCAGGAACCGATTCCGATGTTCCGCCGTGTTCCGATTCGCAAATCACAGAATAAACCACCAGCCGGAACCGGAAGCTGGTCGGTAGCGCACAAATTGAACTTCTTCCTACGCGAGTGGCCTTATTTTGAACAGCAAGTAGAAAAGGACCCGAAGGATAAAACGGATTCACCTATATGTGTCTATTCTTCCTCCGTGCAGTGTGTTGTGTCCGTTCGCTGTGCCACCCTCGTAAAGACTGTGACGACGACGACGGCGACGGCGACGGCGAAGTTGATATCCAGAGGTGGAAAAGATATCCTGTAGAGATATAGGAGCTAAGCGAGCAACAGCGGGACGAGGCACGACGCGTATAAGCACAATCGAAACGTGGCACGTGTTGTTGGTGTGTTGGTGAATTTCAGTGTGTTCAAGTCTGTAGGATACGGCGATTGAGGGAATCGCTTTCATAAACTGCCGATGGGGTGTTTTCAAGCCGAATTGACAGAACCGTACACAGTGCTTCAAAATAAAATAACCAAGGTAAATACACTAGCGGAAAATTGATTGGGACTTGCGAGCCTCATGTCCGTGCAGCAAGCGAAGTAATTTTTGAATAAAATGCGTGCTGCGTTGGCCAAGGAAGACTGCATATTTTGTTACGTTTGATTAGCAATGATTTCGATACGTTGCAGTTTCACAAATCATCAATTACTATAAGGTGATCCAAGAGACGTTTCTCAGTGGAACTGACAGCTAGTGCTAAGACTAGTAGGTCCCGAAGAAACGTGCTCATCTTTTTGGCTCAGCTCTGGTACTATCTTCGGTCCCAAGCTAATCGATTCACCCCTCGAAACATAGGAATATCCACGAACCCCTCATTTTATCTGTCAAACTTTCATAGCGAATCAAAACAAACATTGTGTAGTACTAGAATTTTGACTAAAATGGGGTACGTTAATCGATTTGCTTGGGACCAATAGGCTAGTCAAGTAGTGAGCCAATTTAAAATCGTTAGTTTCGTATTGATTGTTGCTACTACTGGATTGTACTAGCAATTTCACCAAATGTATTAGAATGTTTTGGTTCTATCTCTTTCAATCTACTCAAAACTGAAATGCATAAAAAAATGACAAAATGATACACTCTTTGCAAACTGTCAAAGAATCATTATACACAAAATCAACTTTGTTCAAATCAAAACAAAAAAAAACTAACCCATCTGGTGGATGATGGCACAAGCTTCCAAGAAAATTCTATTACAGTGAATCACATTATTTTAATGGATTTCTTCGCCAGTTAGTCGTCTGTCACTTCGTTTGTGCTACTACCAACTACGATACTTTTAAATTGTCCGTTAAATGCTTGTTCGATGAACAACTTGCGATTGTTATGTCTGTTTGTCTGTGGTTATAAGCTTGTTGGCCCTGAAAAGGGCCGTTTTATTGTAGACGAATCCATGGCCGCTTACACGGATATAAATCTCCTTATATTTTGGCAAATTTCCATTGCTGATTATTCATAAATTGTATAAGTCAACTAATAAGCAGACGCTTTGCAAAAAGTTAATAAAGATCATGTGTTAAATGAAATGTATAAGCGGTCACACATACCTTTTATGCATTCTAATAGGACCTATGTGGTTTGTCTTCTAGAATGTATAAGGCTGATGCTTTGGCAAAAATGTATAAGTGAAACACATGAATTAAATAATTGATTTTCGTTTCGTGTACGTTTGGCGTGTTCAGAGTAAGTGACAGCATCTCGGATCCCGAATAGAAATTTACATTAGCCCAACGTTTGATTTTGATGTCTACATCAGCATCGAAATCAAATGTATGCCTGATGTCAAACATTAGAAAACATTATGATTTAGTTGTATTTAAGCAACGTAACATGGTGTATACATCAGAAATTTTGGAACAAAATTTTGCCATTCTAATGTCGGTCTGACGTCAAAAATTTCAATCTATTGACATTAGAACCAAACATTTCAGGAATGTTTTCTGATGTACATTACGTTAGAACTAAACGTTGTTCGGATGTTTTAATATGTAAATGTTTTCTGATGTTTTCTAATGTAGATGGTTCCTGATGTTAGAACCAAACGTTTTTCGGTTGTTTTCGGATGTAAAAAACGTTAGAACTAAACGTTGTTCGGATATTTTTATATGTAAATGTATTCTGATGTTTTCTAACGTAGATGTTTCCTGATGCTAGAACCAAACGTTTTTTGGATGTTTTCGGATGTACAAAACGTTTAAAGTAAACGTTGTTCGAATGTTTTCAAATGTAGATGTTTACTAATGTTTTTAGATATACAAAACACTAGAATTTTATTTTTCAAATGCTTTCAATTATATTTACAAAACATTAGAATTAGAAACATGAACGTGTAAACACTACACATCATTGTTGTTAGATAACATCAAAAAAATGCGTACATAATAGTCAATGCTGAAGCTCCCGTCGAGGGGCACGCAATAACCTTTAACTCCTACGCAAGCCTTTTTTAAGTACAATAATAACAGTTAACTACATGATTAATTACTTTAATTACAAGCGTCGGAAATTTTTTGATTTAATTACTTTTAAGTACAAATTTCAGCTTTAATTACAAGTCGCATAAATTAAGTACATTAACTCCACTAATGTACAATGAGAAATGTACTTAAATTTCCCCCAGCGTACCGTTAGACCCTTTCGTTATTGGCCCGTGAAACAAAAATTTCACAGGCCCTTTTGCTACGTTAAGGATAATGTCAGCTCTGATAGATTGTATCGCTACCGCTGTTATGACTTCAGAATAGACCCTATAAACATACATCTCCCGGGACCTAAGAGGAAATCTACGCTGGTGATTGGTGCCAATTCACATGCAACGATCGGTTCGTGATTGGAAATGTAGTCGGATTTCAATACTGCCGAGGTGTTGGCAGGGCAATGAACTATATCCTGGATCACGCCCCTGTCAAAGCACCAGAGAATGCGACAATGAAAGGAATGTTTGTTTGTGCTACCTGGTTCTACCCATGGTGGGTATACAAATGGTGATACAGCTTTGTCACTATATAGGCGAGGAGGTCGCGGGGGGGAAAAGTGCGGTTTTAGAGCAAATTGTAAACAAACTCGGTCGCTGTCCCATACAAAAAATCCAACATGGCTGAATCATGAATTTGACACATTAGAACACCTATATGTAGTCACCTTGGTTCTACCTAAGAAATAACGAATTTAATTAGGTGGATGTGAACGAAAACAGAATTACAATAGAAAATTATATTAACCTTTGCGTGCCTAATGTCTAAGTTTGCATAGATTTCAAAATTCAATTAGCTCTAAAAACATAATTTCTCAATATTTATCTTTATAACAAATTGAATTTTGTCGGGAATCTATTGAAGTTTCTGAATACATCTGAAAATATTTTGATCAATTCATGGCTCCGGAGTTATTTCGGTTCCCGTTGGGGCCACTTTTGGTCGGCATTCGGCTTTATTGTTCTGTAATAAGTACACACACGATGAACATCATGTTTTTTCTCTCAAACGATGTAATTGGACCAGTGGCAGCTATTCCGACGATTCACAATCACATTGGGCATCCCGGAAATGTTCCGGTGCCCCGGGGAAGTGGCCAATTCTTAACAAGAACCAAAACCCATCATGCGACATATCAAACTTCATGATTTTGCAAATCTTGGCCAGTAATGGCTTTATTGAGAGTTGATGGTCACACTAGCCCTCCCAGACATGTTCCGGTGCCCCCAGGGAAGTGGTCAATTCTCAACCAGAACCAAAACCCATCATGCGACATATCAAACAACATGATTTTACAAATATTGGCCAGTAATGGCCTTATTGAAAGTCAATGGTCACACTAGCCCTTTCGGGAATGTTCCGGTGCCCCCGGGGAAATGGCCAATTCTCACCAAGAACAAAACCCATCGTGCGACATATCAAACTTCATGATTTTACAAATCTTGGCCAGTAATGGTCTTATTGAGAGTCCATGGTCACACTAGCCCTCCTAGACATGTTCCGGTGCCCCCGGAGATGTGGCCAATTCTCAACAAGAATCAAAAACCCATCGTGCGACATATCAAAATTCATGATTTTCCAAATTTTGGCTGGTAATGGCCTTAATGAGACTCGACGGTCATACTAGCCCTCTCGGGCATGTTCCTGTGTCCCCGGGCAAGTGACCGATTCTCCACAAGAACCAAAACACGTCATGCGACATATCAAACTTTATGATTCTGCTGAACTCGGCCAGTAATGGTCTTTTTGAGAGCCCACGATCCCATTGGCCCTCCCTGGCATGTTCCGGTGTTCTCGGGTATATTGTCATATATCGACAAGAACCAAAATCCTTCGTGCGACATATCAAACTTCATGATTCTGCACGGCTAATAATGGTCTTAGACAGTCCACAGTCCCATTAAATTGTCCCCCCCCCCCCCGGGTAAATATCCAACTCCCAATAAGAACCAGAACCCCTCGTGTGACATATCAAACTTCATTATTTTACGGAACTCCGTCCGTAAGGACCATATTAAGAGTTCAAATTTGCTATCCCAGACGCGATCCGATATTCCCAGGAATGCTGTTGCACCTAAAGTAAATTATC